TGCGCCTGGGCTGGGACTGGTCCCGCCAGCGCAGGGTAGCAGGAAGCTCTCCACACACTCACCGGACCTGGGCTAGGACTGGATCTGGGGGTTCCCAGAAGTCGGCAGAAATTCCTACTCAGCGGGAGGGGTGGGGGAGGTACTGCGGAGTGGTGGAGGGCCGCCCAAGGGGATGGGAGAGGGTCCGGCCCACGCTGTGCCTGGGCTGGGACTCAGTGCATTTGGCTTTCTGGCCTTGCTCTAAGCCTCACTCCTGGTGAAGTTCATCCCCACAAGAATTGTATCCCTAAGGCTACTGGGGTCCCCATCTTCAGCTCTGGTGTAAATCTGACCTCAAGTCAACCTACCTGGTCATTAAGGCCTGACTGCTGCTTTAAGACCCCTGGAGTCTTCCCTTTAAAGCCCCTCCTGTGGCTTCATTGGCATCCCCCAGCAGCCCCCAGGTTCCTGCTTAGCCTTCTGTCTAGCCCCTTTCCTCCTCCTGCCTCACCCCAAGATTATTCAGAGAGCTCTTGATTATTCAGAGAGCCTTGTGATTGGAAAATTAATCTGGAAATATAGTTTAGGGAGGAATGGCCCTGCTAAGGTCTTGAAATTTGGTCTTGAAATTTGCCCTATAAACAAGACATTTCTCTACTTCAAATATTTTGACATTGCAAACATTTACTAATTTATTGTTCTGTATTTTAGGAAAGGGTCTACAGGGTGTTCAGTCTCACTTCTAGGTGCAACTCATAGTGATTCTCCTGTTTACAGCCTCCAAGTGCTGGGATTACCACACCGAGTCTCAATCACCAGCAAAGGCAGGCCCGAGATGGAACCATCCCTTACCCCCACTCCCCCTCCAACCCCACCCCCACCCCCATCCCCACCCCTGTGCCTGCTTGCAGGTGCTTTAATCCACTGAGCTATTTGGCCAGCCCTTTTATGTTATTTTGAGATAGGCTAAATCACTAAATTGCCCAAACTGAGCTTTAATTTGTGATCTTCCTGCCTCAGTCTCCCAGTGTTCTGGGATTATATAAGTATGCAAAACCATGCCTCACTTAGACTGCTATTTTAAACATAAATTTGTACTAAATGAAAAATTTAATGTTTGATATGCAGACAGATAGTGAGGTTAAGCTTAACAGCCTAAGTTGTATGGTAATAACACTAAGCTTGTCTTCTGGATGGTTAACAACCTAAGTTTGCAGACCAAAATTGGAGAAAAAGGAGGGCCACAAGGAAAGCCAACATTTTGGCCCTAACCTTCCAAGGTCAATTAAGACTCAGGACATA